GCAAAAGACTTCTCAACTTCTTTACTAGTCACAGGGATGAAATTAAACTATAAGAGATTTCACCTCATATCCAAAAGATTACCTTAATGTAGTATTGATGAGGATGTGGAACAGGATCTGGTGGTAGAAGATGTATTTCATCGTATTTAGGAATAATGCAGCACATTATAGTACAGCCAAAAGTAAAATTAAGGATAAGGGACTATTGTATAGGATATAAAAATCTTTTGAGGGGAAAAAATAGCATTTTAACGCTATATTACATTTGTTTTAATATTATAGATTACAAACCAAAGGAAAATATGACCATGTCAACAAATGTTTTTATAATATAAAGAATTAAAAACTGATAGGACCAACAGATAGTGTAATGGTTATGTCACTGAACTCCCGCATGGCTGACCGTGGTTCATGTCCTGGACCAGGTGGCTTCAAACTTACGCAAGGTGCATGTGCGTGTGTACCCACACTGCTGAGAGGAGAATGGAGGAGAAGAGATTGCAGCGTGACCATCCCCCACTCCGGGAGGCAATTTCTCACTTTCTATCTCTCTGTCTCTCTGGCAAGTGCACATGCCCTATAGCAAACATCTCTCTATTAAAAAAAAAAGAAAAGAATTAAAAATGGCTTTTGAAAAAATAAAAACCAAGTTTGGTTTTATCAAAAGTAAATAAACTAAAGCACAGGGAGTTAAATAATTTTATAAGAATATCACAGATCAGTGACATAATAGTAAAACATGATGCTGTGCAAGGCTGATCCACATGAGAAGGTCCCCAGTTCATGTCTGAAGACCTCCCTGAGAACACCAAGAATGCATATACCCATGATCCGGGGCTGGCTAAGGCTGGGGTGGGTCATGGCATTGAAAGCCTATTGGAGGTACTATCTCTCTGTCTCTATCTCCGTGTGTCTCTCATGGGAAATATATGTTTTTTAAAAAAGAAGGAATTGAAATAAAGTATATAGTTCATCATTTCTAGCTCAAGATTCTGTACACTAAATTATAATATCAGCAACCTTTTTTTTTTTTTAATGTTAAGTGAATAGTAGTAGCCTTTAGTCCTAATGCTATGGGCTTCATTTCCTTAACTGCAAAATAAATACAATTACATGAAAAGCCCTTGAGGCACCTTTAATCTCGAATGAAATTCGATTCTGTATCTGAAGCTGCTCTCACTGACCTCCGGAACCACAGTCATTTTTCCTCTGAGGACCTCCTGTCTGAACCCACTATTTATCTTAACAAACGGGTCATGATCATGTTGCCACATTGTACCTTTACTTATCTTTTCATAACTATATCCTCTATCTCCAATTCAGTTGTATTCTTTTTGAGATGCAAACCTTTTCTCATGTGCTTTGTATTTGTAAATTTTGGACTGTAAAACACATTTTTAATACCATTTTCTTTCCCTAAGAGCACCCGGCATAGTGATTTTTACAGTGTAGGTACAAAACTAGATGCATGGTGATAATGTTACAGTGTACAAAACAGGACCAGCTCTCAGAGCTGTAGTAATGTGGACATAGGATTCTACCTCAGAAACACATACGTTTGTTTTCTTTTGTTTCAGAAAGACAGCACAAAGCGAGTATTTTCTGGCATTCAGCCTACAGGAACCCCCCACCTGGGCAATTACCTGGGAGCCATTGAGAGCTGGGTGAGGCTGCAGGAGGAGTATGGCTCTGTGCTGTACAGCATCGTGGACCTCCACTCCATCACTGTCCCCCAAAACCCAGCTCTCCTCCACCAGAGCATCCTGGACATGACGGCTGCTCTACTCGCCTGTGGCATAGACCCAGAGAAGAGCATTCTTTTTCAGCAATCCCAGGTCAGCTTCTCAAATTAGAACTGAGAAAACTTTCATTTTAATTTTATTTAAAGAAAAATATGAATGGTTCATAACAGCTCCTGTTTGTGATCTTTTAAAAAAATTATTTGCGGGCAACTTCATCAAATGTGATTGTTTGGGTTTAATGCTTTACCTATATTCATATCATTACATTGCGGTAGCATTTTTCAATTTCCCTCCACTGTATTTGGTAAGTTTATAGTCTTTCCTATACTAAAAAGTTCTATCTCATTAGTACTTTTAACTCTGGCATTATTTTTCTTGTCGAGTCACGTTCAAAATGATGAGTTCATGCTGTTAACTAACAAGTGATTTTACATAATTCCAATATTGCTTTGCTGAGTATTGCATTTGGAAGGCTTGCTGGATACTTCCCATTGTTCATTCTTTGTATAATAGCTTTGGAGAAGGTTTGATAGAACACGCTGGGAAACTGGAAGACGAAGTTCCAATGTTTTGTGTCTAAGCCAAGAAGGCTTCAGAACAAAGCCAAAATATTTGACTCATATCTTCATTATGGATGAATCGTTATTTTTGGACAAGCAAATGACCTGGCCTGGAGACAAAGCAATTAAGAACACCGTAGCAAAGAATAGGAAAATTCTAACTGAATCATACCCATCCTGTATATCTACTTTAACTTTGTGACAAAGCCCCAACTAAGGAGTGGTATGTTATACATATTATGGTCCCTGTTAATGTGTATGCATATAAATGACTTTCCCTGACCGTAAAGCTTCTGTCATTATTTTTATGTTTTATTACCCACAGAACTTAAGATAATGATTTACACAGAGCAATCAGTTTAAAAATGTCTAATATTTCATATAAATGTATCTTTGAATAAATAAATACTGTTATTAACTTAAACCTGTTGCCAAAATGGACATAATTTGATAGAATAGTGCTCTCTCTTCCTCTGTCTCTCTCTCTCTCTCTCTCTCTCTCTCTGGTGAGGGCATGTACCTGCTGGCAATAAAAAAAGAAAAAAAAAAATTGGGGACCAGCAGTTGCCATAATGGCTATGTCACTGGACTCCCATGTAGTCGACTGTGGTTCGAGTCCCAGACCCAGTAACTTAAATTCACTGGGCATGTGTGCATGCGTGCCCAAGATCCCGAGAGGAGAATGGATGGAGGAGAAGGGATTGCGGTGGGGCCTTACCCACTGGGGGTGATTTCTCGCTTTCTGTCTCTCTGTCTCTATCTGTCTTTCTGGTGAGCGAACGCACCCTATAGCAAGAAAAAACCTCTCCAAAAATAATTTTTTTTAAATATCTAAGAATAGAATAGTATACTGTACTCTCATCATTTACTAATATTTTCTGATTTAACTCATCAATGTTATTTTCCTTAGTATAAAAGCAGATACCATACATCATGGCATTTTGCTCCCTAAATACTTTGGTATATTTCTCTATAAATTAAGAAAATTTTCTTACATAATCACTATACTGTCATCACACATAACACAGTTAGTGATAACTGCCTATTATCATCTAATACCTATTTCTGTGATTCTCAAAAAAATGTATTTTTTTAAGTTTATTTATTTATGTATTTTTTTCTTCCATGAATAAGAGTCAGAGAGAGACAGAGAGCCGGTATCACCACCAACAGGGTCAATTTGTTTTTAATTTTTCATTTTAGAGACTAGGTCTCACTAGGTTACCCAGCCTGACTTCAAAATCATAGTCTTCCTGCCTCAGCCTCCCAAGTAGCTAGCTTACAGGTGTGTGCTGCACTGTCCAGTTACTAACAAGGTCTACACAACATGATCCAACCCGGCTTCAGCCAGCCCCAGATTGAGGACATGCACATGCCTAGTGTGTTCAAGGAAGTCTCCAGACCCAAACCTGGGACCTTCCTATATACGTGCCAGTGTTGCAGAACACTGAGTTACCACTGTGCCATCATCCAGTACCTCTGCCCCAGATGTCTTGTGTAGTTGGCTTGTTTGAGTGAGATCTATCAACATCCACACAGTAACACTTTATCATAAACCTTAAGTCTCTTTTGTGTGTCTACTTTTTGATTTGTTGATCAAGTTTTATTTCCTGTAAAATTAGTCCTTCTAAACTTAAAAAAAAATTTTAAACTTTGTTTTTTATTTTTCAGAGAGATTTATCTTCTGTGTTCCTTTTATTTTTTAAAAACTTATTTTATTTCAATTTATTTATTTATTTTAATTTGACTAGAGCAGGACAGAATGTGAAAGAAAGAGAGAGGGGGAGAGAGAGAGAGAGAGAGAGAGAATAAAAAAACAAACCACCAGGTCCAGGACTTGAATTCCAGTCAACCATGTGGGAATCAGGTGCCCTTAACCACCATGCCACCTGCCAGTCCCCAGAGAGATTTGTGCTATAGGACATGTGCACTTGCCAGAGACACACAGAAAGACAGAGAGAAAGAAAGTGCGAAACCAACCCCCAGCAGGGGATGACTATGCCACAATCCCTTCTCCTCCATTCTACTCTTGGGATTTTGGGCACATACATGCTCCCAGCATGTGTGTTTCAAGCCACTGGGTCTGGGCCTCAAACCGTGGTTAACCATGTAGGAGTCCAGCATCTCAACCACCACACCTGCTATGGCCCCTAAATTTTGATTTTTATGCTTCCATTTTGCATGCCTTTGATATGTTGATCAGGCTTTATTTGCTATAATGTTAACTCTTTTGTACTTAAAAATAGATAAGTTTTTGTTGAGGCCATGCATCAATCTGTGTTAAATGTTTAGTGACTATAAACTACTGTCCCATATAATTCCTCATCACTACTTTCATTAGTTTGTGTAGAAACTATACTTGCCTAGTGACCATGGAATACCTAGAAAGGAATGTGAGACATCAGTTCTTTTAGAATGTCTAGAAGGCTCTATGTTGTTCATGAATCATGATGATGGAAAGATGCTCCATATTAAAACTGTGGCTGCTTGGGATCAGCAGTTAGCGTACTGTCTATGTTGATGGACTCTCATGTAGTCGACCACGGTTCACATCCGGACCCAGTGGCTTAAAACTTACACCGGGTGCGTGTGTGTGTGTGTGTGTGTGTGTGTGTGTGTTTGTGCCCAAGATCCGGAGAGGAGAATGGAGGAGAAGGGATTGTGGCGTGGCCATCCCCCCTGGGGGTGGGTGATTTCTCGCTTTCTGTCTCTGTCTGGTGAGCGTACATGCTCTATAGCAAAAACCTCTTCAAAAAAAAAAAGAAACTGTGGCTGCTTCAGCCTGTATGGGTCATGGGGACACATCAGGTAGGTCGTCTGACAGAGATCAGGGACTTTCTCATGGGAGTCCACCTCACAGAGCATCACATCTTACCACCCTACCATGGTCTGGTGCCTTGATATAGCCACTCTAACAGTTATAAGGTAATCAACCTGTGGATTTCCAAAAGATGGAATAACCATAGCACTTTTAGATTTATGGGAAAAAATTTTTGGAGCTAGCCAGTGGCATGGTAGTTATGGCAGGCCAATACCACAAAGATACACAGCATGGGTTTAGATGTGTGTCTGGCAAGCATGTGCACCATATAGAAAAACTGAAAAAAAAATTTGAAGTCACATTTATTAGGAAGGTAATATTTTTTAAATGTACATCCCACCATTATATTACTCTATAACTCGCATCATGTTTTTTGAGTGTACATGTAATACATTGCAATCAAATCAAGGAATTATCGCATATACTATTTTCAAGCAAGAATTTCACATTTTGTAATCTGTTAAAAAATTCTTTTCCTGGGACCAGCAGTTAGTGTAACAGCTATGTCTTTGAACTCCCATGTAGTTGACTGTGGTTCAAGCCCCAGACCTGGTGGCTTAAATTCATGCCGGCCACGTGTGTGTGCATGCCCAAGATTCTGAGAGGAGAATGGAGGAGATGGGATTGTGGCATAGCCATCCTCCCTGGGCGCTAATTTCTCGCTTTCTGTCTCTCTGTCTTTCTGGCGAGCGCATGCACCCTATGGAGAGAAAAAAAAAACCTCTACAAAAAGAAAAGTTCTTCTCCTTGACCCTCTCTCTCACCCACCCTCTACCATCCATTCCCCTATTTATTTTCCCTACTCTCATATCTTCGAATCTTTCAATATCTCCCACAAAGTGCAGGCATTAGGTTGAGCAGAGATAAATAATGTGTGTCTTTCAAAGGCTGGCTTACTTCACTTAGCTTTATGTCTTCTATATTCTTCCACTTTGAATCAAATGACAAGATCTTATTGTTACTGCTCCTTATGGCTGAGAAGTATTCCATAATATATAGGTGCCATAGTTTTTAATCCAGTCATCAGTATTTGGGCACTTAGGATGATTCCATGTCTTAGCTATTGTAAATAGTGCTGCAATAAACATGGATGTCAAGTATCTGACTGTTTTCCTGTCCTTTGGGTAATTATCAAAGAGTGGGATTACTAGGTCTTACGGTAGTTCTATTTGTAGGTTTTTGAGAAACGTCCATATTGTATTCCACAGTGGTTGTACTCATTTACATTCCCACAACAGTGTAAGAGGGTTCTCTTTTCACCACAGCCTAGACAGCACTTGTCGTTCTTTACTTTCTGCGATCATAGCTATTCTGACTACAGTTAAATGGTATCTCATTGTGGGTTTGGTTTGTATTTCCCTTATACTAAAAGTAATTGAAGGGACTGGCAGATGATGTGGTGGTTAAGGGTGCTGTACTCCCACGTGACTGACCACAGTTCGAGTCCTAGGTCTGACGAAGAACATTACAATAATTTACTGAGCTCCTCTTCAGTACACATACTGGCTTTAATCTCAGTGGAGAAAGTGCTACCGGGTCAATGTCTGTCTTGGATGTTGAGATGGACATTTGTGTGTAGAGGGTCCAGCAGATGGCATGATGGTTAAGGCACTGGACACTCCCACATGGCTAACCCCGGTTTGAGTCCTGGCCCTGGTGTCTTTGTGTGTGTGTGTGTGTGTGTGTGTGTGTGTGTGTGTGTGTGTGTGTGT